TCAAAAGGGCCCTCTAAATTTTATTACTAAAAATAAACATTTCTGATAAAAGTTGCCTCATTGATAACCTAGATACTTAGAGTGAATACAGTATGAAAAACTTGTCAAGAGGACAGATGTGTTCCCAGACTATCAGTTACAAATTTCTCCTCTCTTTTCTTGAGTGAAACTAAAATTACAAAAATTAAGTATTGTGGGGAAAATGGAGGTTTCTATGGTCAGAATCCTTATCTGACCCTAAACTGCTTGATGATGTAATTGGCCTACTGCTAGGCTAATACTTCCACACCCTTAGCAATGAGCTGTTATTGACTGAGTAATTAAATAAAGTACTTCACCCAGTGCTCTGGGCAGAGGCAGAGATGGAGGTGGATTACGGACCTGCAGACTGCTGGATGCAGACGTGATTCTAGTACTCGACCTACTGTGAATGTTCAGTTGTCATTTTTTGGTCTCACTGAATCCATAGTGAACTTGCCTGGGACTAAAATCCTCAGGCAAGACAAGTATATTAAGTTCATACTGGTGAGCCGTTGTAGTGGAGGAATTTGCTTCAATATATTCCAGGAGAAAAAAAAGTTGGGAGAGCAGCAGACAAGAGGATCGATGATAGTCCATTATTCCTTCCCTTTCTTTTGTACATGTTTGAAATTTTGATAATATGAAGTTCTTATAAAATCCAATATATTTTCAGTAGATAACAGTGGATGAATTAGTTTTCTGCAAGAGACTTATAAAGCATACATAAATTATTTCATTTCAGCTAAATATCTTGTGTTATTAGGAATGAATGAGGCAGAGGAGAGAGAGAGGAAGGAACAGCAGGAGGAGCAGCAGGGCAGAATTGTTGGATGTGGGGAAAACAAAAACAGGTTTTGAGAGAATTTATACAAGTCAGGAATTGATTTAAAATGAAAGTAGGAGTTAAAATTTTTGCAACTGAGTGGATGATGGCACCACTGACTCCTAAGGATGTCCTTAGGGATAAGATAGGGGTTAGTTAGGAGAGATAAATATATAGAGTATGGTTTGGTGAGCTGATTTTGAGGTATCTAATGGATATTCTGCCCAGGCACATGTTTCAGTTTTTTGCCTTGAAATAAAATGTCACAATCCTTTTGATAAGAACTACAGCTTGATATTTTCAGAAGTATCTTTCTTTTAAATGGGTTTGTATGCAAGGTCTTCCATGGGCAAATTCAGAAAGACTCAGGAACCTCTGGCTAGCATCATGTTGTGAGAAAATGGTATGTCTTCAGGGTTAAGAAAATAACATTTAATTGCAAAAACAAAAATTATAATTACCCAATCTTGATCAAGTTGGTATTTAGTAATGAGGTGCTTTTACAACCATTTGTTGTCATTTCCTCCCAACTCAGTCAAAATTGCTTCACTTCATTGTGGGTTGAGAGATATGACCAAAGTCTAATTACTAAACGTGAGCAAAGTCCAGGTTAAAACTCTGCAATTTTATTCTTTATCTCTTTCACTTTATCTTAAAAAAAAAAATCTCCACAGCAGTTATAAAATAATAAGAACATATCCATGAAAGAATCAGTAGCATATTCTTTCACGGTGTTTCTCCTTCCAGCTGAGTTCCATGGACCACAGCCCAGGACCAGAGCCCAGGACCAGAGCGCCTCCCCTTCCTAATGCACCTTTGTCAAGTCCTTCAGTGACAGAGTATCCTCTCTGCTTGTGGTTTCCCCGCAGTTCATTAGCCCGTATTTTCCAAGCGAAACAAAGACTTTGTAGTAGATTATTCTTACATACGCATTTATATATGGTAGCTTCTTCTTGACTCCATCCCAGTACAAATGTCCAGCACTAACCAGGCACCTTTTCTGCCCTCCTTATAAAGAAAGATTTTTGTGAATGTTTGACTTGTTTTTATTAGGTAAAACATAAAATGTGACTTTCAGATTAATCGGTTTTAACTTTTGCATTTGTTTTGCCTTAGGCACTACTCCTAAAACTGCTGGTTAAAGGTCCAGTCAAAATTAAGGAAGATTAAATTCTTCTGAGGTTGTAGACAATTCTCAAACCTGCTTGAGATCTTATCATTCGATTGGCTACATGAAAGAATATGAGAGAGCGGTGGCTAGGAACCTGCATCAGGCTACCTACTGACGGAGTGTCTTGGGAAAGAGAGCAGGGCTTGACCTTTGAGGACACAGTGAATCTGCTCAGCTGTAAACGTGGCCTAATTTGCTGTCTGGATCAGACCAATCTTAGACAACGTCTCTCTGGGGGTTGGTTTGGGCAAAAAGGAAGGGGGGAAATTAGGAGAAAGGAGCAGACCTTGGTTGTCCTAAGGAAACAGACCACAGTAAAGTTTTGTAGAGTGAACCTATTGGTGAGTATCAGGGATAAAGTTGGAATGACAAGCCTGGGTAGGGTGATATAGTGGGTGGGGAGAAGCCAGAAGAAGGGAATCGGGCAGAAAGGGTTGCTGAAGGGGAGAAAATGGGGCTGCAATGAGAACTGTTACCTAAGATTTTACCTGGTGTAGGTCCCGAAACACTCATTATCTTTGGCTTAAATAATACATACCAATTTAAGATCTACTTTCCTCCACTGACATTTTGAGTCACTGTAGAATGTAATTATAAAATATTCAAGAAGCAAAATGCAGAATAGATTAAATCACAAGTTTTTTTGCTTGATGCCTTCACTTTTTTAAAGAGCTAAGATGCTGGGATGCTTGAAGATAAATTTTTAAAGGAGAAATGTAAATAATCTAGAGGGGATAAAGGAGCATTTCTGTACATGATTTACTCTAAGGTACTGGCCAAACAAATATTTATTAAATAAAAGCAAGGTGGGTATATGGACCACACTCCATAGTAATTCTTGCCTCAATAATTCTGTGCTAATGATCATTTTTCTTTTGGTAAATGTTCACAAATCACCTATTTAACTAATTGTGCTGTGGACCTTTACCCAGGACTGGTATTAAAATCATACATCTTAAGTATTATCATCACCCTTTAATTTTGTTCTCTTCATACTCTCCTGATCTGTCTGATTTTAATCTGTTCTTTTATTTAAAGATCTGACATTAAAGCAATTGAGTTTATTTCTTCTTTTCAAACTCCATTTGGAAATTATATGATGGGTACATTTTTTAATTCAAATTCAGGAAAATTAGATTTATTGCAAAACATAATTTGAAAGTGGAATTATATATTTTGGAAAATTAACACTTTAATTTAGAACATCCTGATATATAAACCAATAAAATGTTCCTAGAAAAGTCTATGGTGCTAATGTGTAATTTTTTTAAGTTAAAAATATAATTTTCATGAAAATATAAAGTTAAGATGTGTCAAAGATTTAATCAAAACCCATTAATTAATGAGGGAACCAGTAAGTTATTAAGACCAAAGAGAATTCGAAGAACATATTTTTATCAATAAATATCAATATTGTATTGATTATATACACACATACAGTCAAGAATGCTGAAATGGAATTGTGAATAAACATAAAACTGGTTAATATCCTATAGGACAGCAAAATACAATGTTTGCTGTTTCCCTGGTCATCTTTCACTGAACTTATACTAAGGACCAGTATCTGGGAAATAGATGTCTCCACATTGTCCCTCTGTAACATCTCCCTAAGTGTGCGACTCTCCACACCAGATGGATAGATCGGAATGAGGAAGGGCAAACGTGTAGTTTGAAGAAAGCCTCTCCCTTCACTGGCTCCCACTGTGTGTGCTCCATACCATGAAATACTCCACTAGGACAAAGTATCTTTCCTTATTCTTGAAAATCATTTAACCCCCTCCTTTCCCCATCAGTAAAGCTTATTGTTCCCTTGTCCTATTCCTACATGTTATAAGAATGTAGACTTGCTTTTTTTTTTCCGGCTCAGTTAAGGTGTTAAGTGTATTCCATTTTTCGGCAAAAGTATTTTTAGCTTATCGGGAGTCTTCATTGCCTTAATGCAAAGAAATGACCAGTGCAGAATGGTGAGTGGGAAGGAGCTACATTTTGATATCTGTTCAGCATTTCCTGACTATCTGATAAGGGCAGGTACTGTGTATTAGGTGCTGTCAAGGAAATCAAGTTGCACAAGGCTTGGTCCTTGCTCTCACCTTTTGGAAAGTGAAATAAAGTATTTACACTGATACCTATAATGCAAGACATGTCCTTTCTTTCACATATTATGAGATTTTTAAATTATAGAAATGATGTGTGGTCAATGAAGAAAATTGTGAATGAGAGAAAAATAGAAAAAACATTATCCAGAGTTCTACCACCCAAACATAATCATTAATATTTTAGAGGAATCTCTTCCAGCTCAGTTTTTGTTTTTTTGATGGTCACCTTTTACTTTTCTTTTGTCCTTTGTTTTTACATACTTGTCATTTTAACAAATATATGGTTTTGTATCTTTTTAAGAAAATGCAGTGTTATATATTTTAAGTCCTCTGCATGGTTTTGTAGATATCCAGTTAGTTTCTGGTTTGTTCCATGGCCTGTATTTTGAGAGCGGCCTCTCTCCTGCTGCGTGATTATGGCTAGCTGATCACAATACCCCACTCTTCTGGAAAGAGAAATTGGTCTAAGAATGGGTTTGTGACCTGTCTAAGAAGTGCCAATCCCGTTTTGGGAGACTGATAAAAATGTTCAAGAGGGAGAAGTTTCTGAACTGCCAGGGATCATATTTCCCACCACATGCAGAAACTCCACTTGAGAATAAAAGTACTAAGAAAAGGAGGAGAAAGAGAGACAAGAGAACACTTTTTGAGCATCTGAATATAGACATGCTGAAACCAGCTAGAACTATATAGCTTTGTGAGCAAAAATATTTCATTCTCAGATGAAGAATGCCAGGAAAGGCCAGGGTGGGGCTGGAGCCAGTGATGAAGAGGAGGACTACGCCAGTCATTGTCTTGTTTTCCAGTCAGAAAATAAAGCAGGATTGACACTTTGGGTAAAAAATAAAATGTTTTATTTGCTTAAAATAAGCAAAATGGGGTTTCTGCCAGTTGAAACCAAAAGGTTCTGATGATACATGTGATTACATAGCCTTAATAACTAACATTTAAAAATATTTGACTTTTTGTGCAAAGACCTAATTTACAGTAATGGTAATAATTTGGTCAAAACAAAAAGGGTTCCCACAGTATGATTTGGGAAATGTCTCCCATTTATTTTCCATGATATTCTCCTTGCCACCCTCTCTCCCTTTTTATTCTCCTTCCATGTTTACTCTCACCAAACAAATATTTATTGATTGGTTATTAACTATGTGCTGGCCATAGGGCTAAGTGCGAGAGCTATAGGACAGACTTGGTCCCTGCCTTCTTGGAGCTTATGAGCTCACAGACTTCCTCTTCCCTGCACTGTGTGACATTGTACAGTACTGTATCGTGATTGTTGAATTCTTCTATGTTCTACCTTGAGTCATAAATGGAGATGCTTTTTTAAACAGAAGATCATATTAATATGCTAATGCTATTTAAGAAAAACTTTTATGATCCTGAGACAATCACAGTAATGACTATGTAGGTATTAAACAGTACAAGTTAAATAGTAAGTAGAAGCCTTTAAAATTGACAAATGCTGTAAATATTTATGGTACTACATAACCTGTTGCCTTGTTTGCTTATGAAGTACCTATGCCTTAAGCTCCCCTAGTGTTTTGAGTAGACACCAAATTATTTTCTATGTATTAATAATAATAAAATCAGTGCAGAAAGAAATGCCACAAGTACAGTATGTCTGGTGAGTGGAAATAAGTAAAATGAATGTTATTTATCGAAGAAGATCATTCCAAATTTTTTATGATTGCCCCTAGCATGAAATATAATTAATCCTTTCAAAATGTTTTGAATAAAATAAATGGTGTTAACCTCCCCTGAGGTTACATATTACATAAAATGAGGTTTTATTACATAAAAACTTGTGTAATATTTTTAGAATGAAATACAAAAGCGTTTTGTAAGGTGATGATAAATATATTTGAAAGTAGCAAACTTTGGAACTGAAGCCATTATAGAAAAGTTGTTTTCTCAGAAGTAAAGGTAGACTCTCTCTCCTCCTATGCAAGTGTACAGGGGCACTGTAGAGTAAGTCTGGCGTTCCTGCCAGGAGTCTGACTCTCCAAAAGAGCTAAGGGTTACTGCTTCTTGCCTTTCAGGCAGGATCTATGTAGAATGACAGCAGAGATGTTGGGGGTGGGAGGGAGGTGGCTGTGTAATCTGGGGGTGGTACAGACCTCCTGGAAACTGTGCCTTCCCTCATCACATCAGGAGAGGAGAGATAGTTCTGAACTTGTGCATGGCAGGGCAACAGAAGTACATGGCTCAGGTGTTTGTCCTATTGCTTTGTGTCCTTTGGAAGAGATGGCCATTAAAGCCACCCTCTAATGGGTCAGTGGCATATATAGTCCAGACTCTTAACCCAGGGTAGCCAGGGATTCTGGGGCTGGCCTGTTGAGACACAAGTAACACACCAAATATTTTTAAATAGATAAAAGCCAATCATATCTTATGTTTCGAACCTACCATTGCCAAATGATTTTCAACCTTGACTGTACATTAGAATCAGCTGGGGAGCTTGTAAAAGTCTAGGCTCTACCCAAGGTCAGTTGAATCAGAATCTTGGAGGGTGGCATCTGGGCATCAGGAGTTTTGAAAGCTTCCGTGGTGATTCCAGTTGGCAACCAAGGTTGAGAACCACTGCATTACTGCCAACAGCTGTATTAGAATCAAGTGCTAACACCTAAGGCTTCTTTTTTAAGGCCTACAGGCTTTGATTGCTTTAGGAAATCTAACAAAATAAAGCCTTTTTACAAAATAAAGGCACTTGGTTGGAGAATTTCAGAAAGACTATCCTGGGAGCTCCTTCCAAAGACCTTATTATATCATTTTTATTCTTCTTTTCTTGTTATATTGGTTCTGTATTTACTCTCACTTTTCACTCTTCTTGGGGCATGCTTACACATGGCCACTGGATCAAAAAGTGTGTATGTGTGTGCGCATGTGTATAAACAGAAGATCAATTTTGAGTTCAGTGCTACCTTTACTTACCCTTGGTTGCTTTGTATTTCTACCAAAGCACAGGACAAAGGCAGAAACCACAACTTGAACTGGGGTCCCGGAGTTTCAAACCATAGCTGTTCTCCATGCCCCAGGCTTTTCCACCAACCTGAAAGGGAAGAGAATGTCGAGATCAGTGTGCCAACCTGGAACTTGGCACATAGGTTAAGTTCCTGAAGGGACTTCATTCCACCCCCAACACTAGGAATTGGGTAGAGGTCCCACCTTACCTTACAGCTACCCTGAGAATGAATGCCATTACCTTCAAATACCCTCAAAAGAGGAATTGATGAAAGGCAAAATATTTTTCAAAAACTAAAGATATTTCCTTTAAGACTCTACTTCAGAATTAGCAGGCTTTTAATCCAACATTCCCCCGCACCCAAATCCACTTTCTGCCCAATAAGCACATGAATTTACAGTAAAAGTTCATATATTCAATCTCTAAAAAATTGGGAATATGATTTAAGAAGTCCGCAGAGGTTCAGGTGACTATCCCTGACTTTCCTTCTGTTTATGGGAGCTCTGTATTCAGAGTAGAGTCAAAGAGGGAGCCCGGACTTTCATACTAGACGGATCTAGATTTGAATCTCTGCCTCATAACTCACTTTGACTCTGGCCACTTAATTCAACTTTTCTGTGTCTCAATTTCTTTGTACAGTGCAGTTATATGTGCAGTTTCTGGTACAGGATGGGGAGTCATATTTAATATTAAAGTTCTAATATTTTTTTAAAAGCCTGAGGATTTCTCTCTATCTTACATTCCCCAGTAATAATTTATAACCACTGAGTTCCCACACTTGGAAAAGTCCATGAAAGTGGGAATTCCTATCATTTAGCTTACGGCCTGGAATTGAGGAGGTGATCGATAAATATTTGCCCTCTGTTGTACAATGTTATGTGAACAAATGTCTTTACTATGATATGAAGGAATTTCGGAACACCTACTGATTAAGTAAATTGTAAAAATACAATCTCATGTTTCCCATTTAAAGACATTAACTTGTTTTTCCCAGTTTTCTTCTGTTATTCTTTTTTCAGGATAATGCTGTAGCATACTGATTAAAGGTGTGAGCTGTGTAACCACAGAGGAACACTACATTACTTACTAGCTGTGCAGAAATAAATTAGCCATTCTGTTTCTCAATTTTCTCATCCATAAAATGGGTATAATAACTCCCATCACACAGAGCTATTGTTGATGGTTAAATGAGCTAATACATGAAAGTGCGTAGAATAGTGCCTGGAACACAGTAGGGGTGTCAGCTTTCCTAGCTCCTTCCCTGGGCCAGCCTGTGCTGATCATGCCATCATCCTTTAATTTTCAGGTGTAGGATGAACTGTCTCTTTTGGGTCCTCCAGTTCCTGGTGAAGCAGGGTTTTTCTTGACTTTGCTCTAATTCACCAAATTGGCATCTCAGTGTTGACACTGTTCTTTTGCCACCACCAACGGGCATTGTCAGCAACATATCCTGGGCTTGAGGGTCTGAAATTGCTTCAAGGTATTTCCTGCTTATAAAGTTCACCCTCTGATCAGTTTCCCTTCAGTGAGCTTCTCAACAACAAGCATTCTCTTTCCATCCCCGCTCCTTGCTGGAGCTTGTCTCCCCTAAATTAGTACATGCTAGAACCTCTTCTGTGGTTTCTCCTGAAAGTCTTTAGCCCTTCAGAAACCCTTCTCCGCAAGTCCTCAATCTGCCTGCCAGACCCAGAGGACATACCGCCCTCCCTTCCCTTCCCTACCATACTTTCCCAAGTCCCCACTCCTCACTCCTTCCTGGGCAGAGCGCACAGTAGCTCTGGTGGAGGTTTGCTTGGAGTCTGAGGTACGTCCCTGCAGGGTGTATGCAAGGTATTTAATTACTTCCTGGAATGAGAATAGACTACCCTGCTCCCTGTCCTGCAAAAACCAAACAACAAAAGCAAGAAACGGGACAAACTGAGGCTCTTGGGCAGCAGGACTGATTTCCAAAACTGCTCCACGTAGCAAATGCTTAACACCTAGTGCGGGCCCCATAAACGTGTGTGGAATACAGGTCTGGCTCAGCCCCAACTCCAGGCGGCAGTCTGGGAAGGACGGCCTGCTGGGGCTCGAGTAGGTACTTAATTGTGGGGATCAGGTCCCCGTCCCCTTCTTTTGTTTGGTTAACTTGATCTGCCCGAGGAGAGGGCGGTAAGTATTTCATTGTGGATTCCTACGCCATGTATGAGGAAATGTTTATTTCTTGCTCCCTGATAGCATAATCTAGAAAAAAAAAAGGAGGGGGGTGTCGCTAGAGAGAGCCATGAAAAGAAGAAAACAAATGGAGTGGCTATTTGCTAACAAGAAAGGAAACACATAACAGGAGGGGAGAAAACGTGGCTATTGCTAAGAAGTGGCGAAAGCTGTGATTCCTGATCAGTTTCTGCTTTTCTCCGTGGGTGGCCGTCGTGCTCCCAGCGCATTCTCTAACCTGGCGTCTGTCTGCTCTGTGGCTATGGCGCACGCTCCGGCTCCCCCGGCTTCCTGGGACAGGATCACGGGGACGAGGGATTTGCTTCTGGTTTTCTCTCCTCAATATGACCTCCCCCAAAGGTCCGTATTCTTCAGCCCAAAGGCTGGGGAGGGGAAAGGATTGAAACGTGCTCTGCTGCTGTACAAATTCCTCATTCAACCAAGATGAACGTCTCCAAATGTGTTACAACTTTTGGAGAGAAAGACTGAGAGAGGGAGGAGAGGAGGGAGATGAGAGAATTTAGGAGACAGAGATAAGCAAAGGGAGAGGGAGGGCAAGTGGACATTGGCTGAAGTTCCTGTGCTCTTGTGTGATTTTTAGAGGACATTCTAAAGAATTTGTGTGCCCTCTTTAGAATGCCATATAAAGCTAAATCTCAGACAAAACATATCTAAATATATATTGGGAATGTCATACGATGTTCAGAAGGTTATCTAAATGAATGGGGGTTGTCTATGGGTTACTAAATTCCTACTGTGTATTTTTAAAACTCTATCACTGAATCATAAGACTAGAAAAATGGGATTTCTGATTATTGATAAGCAGCAGTTTAGCAATCTTAGAGATAACCATCAAAACATTTCGCTGTACAAAGTTATCTTACTGTGAGTTTTCAAACTGTACCTTTGGGTATTAAAGTGGGGAGGAATGAGCACCCAGGGGTCAGGGGCCTCAGGGTGTGCTGCTCACAAGCAGATGGTGTACGTCTCCTCCTGGTCTTCAGTGAGGCTGGTGGGAGCATCTACACCTCAGAGGCACCAGGGCTCCACATCAGTTTTTCTTGGAGAGCCCCGTGTTCAATGGAGTGTGTTACCAGCCCACCCCTGCAGCAGATCTGCTTTTATTTATAGAGAATGTCTGTGTAAAATAGGCTTTTGAAAAAGGTTTCATGGCCATGAAGTTTGAACACCATACCTTAATTGGATATTTTCTTGTTTTCTAATATCACAGTGAATATTACATAGATCTTCCTTCACCTACAATGGGGTTATGTTCTGATAAAATGGACATAAGTTGAAAATATATGTGGAAAATGCATTTAATACACCTAACCCACTAAACGCACACACATACATATATGGTAGAACACTGTAAGTCCAGGAAGAGGAAATCCCGGGGCAAAATACCTCTAAAACTGAAATCAGTCAAAGGGAGAAATAAAGTTTAAAACCCATTTATTGCTTACAAACTGCAGCCTAGGGCAGTTTCTCTCTCCTGTTCCAGCAGAAGCCAACCAGCCCTCCCCTTAACCTCTCAGGTTTAGATAAGCCCTTGGTTGCCCAGGTAATTACCCACTGATATGGAGAAGAACTACTCTCCACCCCTGAGGAATGCCTGTTGATATGCAGATGCACTAAAGCCATACTTCTCTCTACCCCTGAGGATGCACTAAAGCCAGGCGAGATATTCTGGAAATATTACAGTTTTACCCACAAACACATATATAATAATATATGTATATAAAGTAGGACCAGTCTACCTTAAACGTGTTCAGAATACTTACATCAGTCGACAGTTGGACAAAGTCTTCTAACACACAACCTATTTTATAGTGAAGTGTTGACTATCTCATGTAACTTATTGAACACTGCACAGAGCATGAGAAGCATGATGGCTGGATGGGGACAGGATGTTCATAAGCATGTGGGCTTTTACTCCGGTGATCTGGTGGCTGCTGCAGGCTGCTGCTGCTCAGCCTCACAACAGAGGATCCCGCTGCATGTGGCTGGCCTGTGATTAAAGTCCAAGATTCCAAGTACATTTTCTACTGAATGCAAACCGCTTTTGCACCAACATAATGTTGAAAAATTTTAAGCCCAGCCATCGTAAGTCAGGGACCATCTGTCATTTGAAGGACTATGAATCATTTTATTATTTTACATCACTGTTTAAGAGACTTCAGTACTTTTATTATTTACTAAAACTATAGCAGTTACATTACATTATGTATTATTAGTGTTCCAATAAATATATGCAAAATGACAGTTTAAAGTATTTTAAAATGTTTTAAGACCTATCAAAAGAAAGAAAAACACTTGGTTGTAAGGTTGGAATTTAGTAAATTTAGCCTTTATTGGATTAGTCAGTTAAGTAATTACAGAAATGGATGTGTTCCAGAAAAATGCCACTCCTCTGAGTTTTGTGCCAGGGAGCAGTTAATATTTAAGTTCCTGTTAACATTTTGTTCCTTTTGGGTTATGGTATTGGAATACTGTATTGCCTTACTCCACATTACTTTTGGCTCCCTAATTTATTTCTGCACCTGCTGCTGTAGTGGCTCCCTAAAATTGCACTTTGAGAGCCACTCCGGCCAACCATGTTATCAATAAGTAAGGGTGACTAAAGCATTGGGTCAGTCTCCCGAGGTCTCTACCTCACTCCTCTTCCTGTTCTTTTTCTCAGGCTTTGTTAGATCAGATTTCAGGCCACTATTTGGCTACTTTTTACTGTGGTCTCTTGTCCCATGGGGGCCAGCTGGCTTAGGGGGTGGACTTGAGCGGGGCCTAAGAGGAGGGAGAGAACTCATTTCGCTTTAAGCCTAAGCCATATGCTTGGCCTAGTGGAAGCTCTGCATTGGGATTTTAGGCATATGGTTCTTTGATTTCCCATTTCTCATTGCTTTTAAATGTCATTCCAGGATCTATGTGGAGGAGAGGTGGCTGGGCTGGGGCAGGAGTTGGGCATTTGGAATCCCTTGGCTTATAGCATGAACATCAATCCAATCAGGGCCTCCCTGTGTGGCTGCCTGGTTTGAACCACAGTTCCCTGCCCAGTCTCTCCCTGGGCCAGGCTCTGATGCAGGGCATCTTTTTCTAATGTACACATAGGTACTCTGCAGCCTTGTTTTTTGACCTGAGAGCAAATCCTGCTTAAGCCCCTAACAGTGATGATCCCATTAGATACATGGATTCTGACCTTGTGTCCCAGTTTCCTAGGACTGGAAAACACTCCTAAGATTTACTCCAAGTGTTCACTTTGGCAGCATGTCTGTAAGAACTGGACCAATACAGAGAAGATGAGCATGATGGGTGGTTGTCACTGGTCTGGGGTCAGGGGCAGGTGAAATGGCTGAAAGGGGTCAAAAGGTACAAACTTCTAGTTATAAGATGAATAAGTCATGGGGCTGTAATGTACATAACATGGTGACTATAGTTAATAAAAAAAAACTGTATTGTATATTTGAAGATCACTAACATTGCAGATCTTAAAATTTCTCACCACAAGAGAAAAAAATCTGTAACTGTGGTGACCAATGTTAACTAGACTCACTGTGGGGATCATTTCACAATACGTAGAAATATCCAATCATTATGTGTACATCTGAAACTAATACAATGTTCTATGTCAATTATACCTCAATTAATACGTTTAAAAAAGGAATTATTTGGAGAGAGGAAAATAAATTAGTCCCTGCATCATGCAAATAAAGCTGTCCCTCTTACCTGAGAATGAGATCTTTTCTTGGGAGTTGTTTCTGCATCTCACACATACCCTCTTCTGATTTGGAAGACTTGTCTGGATGTGTTTGGATTTACGTAGCAGATCCAGTTTGAGTCCATTGCCAGGGGCCCCTCAGGCTTCCACAAGGCCTGCCCCTCCAGTTTGATGAACGTGCCCAGGCACGCTTGAACTCCACCAAGGGAGGACAGATTTCTCAGTATATAAATGAAGGAGGGAATCAGGAAAGAAAGCAGAGGTCCAAGAAAGGAGAATGAAAGGACATTGTGACACTGGGCCCCTCCCTGTTTCAGGTCCTCTTTCGATTTTCATTTTGATAGTTAATTTGGTACAAAAACTGCCTTACACCCGCTGGTCTGCCTCTCTTCTCTCCACATTTTGGACCATAAACACTCTGGGGGCCTAGGTGTAGTACATGCCAAAATGCTTAAGAAACGTTTTTGATGGTAAAAAGAATGTTTAAAAACTTTCTTCTATACAAGGAGTGGTGACCAAAAATGAACTTAGATGTGAAACTAAAACAAAAAAGTTTTTCACTTTGCTTTGAACTGGGTGCATTGTTAAAAGAAAAAGGCTCTTTCTGCTGTGTGACATAGTTCCACTGTAACCCTTTTCACCAAGTGTGTTCAGTGACTGACTTGGGAACTGGATCAGCTGTGGTGAGCACCTTTAGGGATGGCAGTGCTAATCCCAGGTGCTGCCTTCAGCTCAGACACCGTGGGAGAGCAACTCCCCAAAGTCAGAATTGATCACTTTTAGTTCTGGTCATTGCAAGAAACAATGAATGTACAGCCAAACTCACCATCTCTGTATCTCATATTTCTGGGACTGTTAATGTGATATCATAGCAGCTAATATAAATTTGGTTTTTGTGGTGTTTCTTTAAAAGTCACCAGATGAGCAAGTGCATGGAATTAATACGAATAGTGTCATTTCAAATCTTGTTGAAGTTAAAATGAGTATTCTTATCTCAGAATCTCTTACCAAATCAGGGATGTCAGGGAAGAAAAAAGCCCCTCCCCAACAACAAAATAAATTCAGGTAGCAAAATGCCAGGTTTCAGCTCCAGGCAAGTTCACTCTAGATTCGGTGAGACTGAATAACAGCAATGCAACTTTGGGGAAAAAAGGGTTTATAGCAAGCTTTATTCTCATGGTGTGAGGTCAAGTGCTAGAATCATATCTGCCTCTGCTAAATCTACAATACGTTTCTGTCTCTGCTTCAGCACAGAGCACTGAGTGGAGCTCTTTCTATAGTAACACAGTCAATAATAGCTTATTGCCAACATGTATGCAAGCATGTGCCTGCAAGCATTGCATATGCACAGTGGGCAAGTAGATTAGGGTCAGGTGAAGATCCTGGTCATGGTAACTTTCATTTTCCATACACTCCACCCCTTCAGTATTTTCGCCTCACAATCTACATGCCCTCAATCTTCCATAATGGTCCCTGTGCGAGAAAGCTGGAAACTTATAACAAAAATTATAATAATAGTAGTTCTTATGCCTGAGATCAATTGCCACCAAGTGGTCATCCCAGCTGTATTCAAACCAGTCCCAATTCACAATTAGCACTTTCCACAGGAGGGCAGTAGGGTTCTGATAGGGAGCTCCATGAACGCCCAGCAGGAAGATGTGCTGGCAGCTTTTGCTAGGGTGTGTGCCCAGTCCATGAACACATTTAGAAGATACTAAACTTAGGGTCAATAAGACATATATTTTAATGACACCAACATAGGCAAATCTTGTCCATCAGGTAGGATGCATGCAAGAGAGTGGTCCTGTGATAGGACTGTGGCAGAAAGGGGGTCCCGTCCAGGTCTAGTATACCACACCTTTATCCCTCTCCCTGTGGGGGTTAGCAAGGGGTCTACATATAGTGCTACTAGAGGTGCATGACTGGCAGTAAAGATAAAACAAAACTCCCCAGTAAGATGCTCTTACCTTCTTGTCATTTAGAGTACACTACCGTGATCTTTGGTCACCACTCTGCCATTACTCAGGAATACATAGGAGGCCAGCCTCCAGGCTTTATCCCCAAGGTGTCAGGAGGGCCAGCCATTTCTGGTCCATGTGTTGAAATGTCCAAGGCCACATCCAGGGAGTGGAGTGTCCAGAGTTTATTGCAGTTGGTGCTGGCAGCAAGATGTTATTCTGGTGACCAAATCTTGACTTCAACAATTCCTCACCAATATCATGGTACAGCCTCACTGTTGGTGGTTTCTCCCATGTAGCCAAGTCCTGGGCTACAAATCCATGACAGATGGTGGGGCTGTGGAATTATCCCTGTGGAAGGACAGTGAAAGTCCATTGCCATCCTTCCCACATGAAGGCAAACTGTTTCTGACTTTCCTGTGCTATGTCAGTGGAAAAGAAGGCATTAGCAAGATCCACAACATAATGATATGTCCCTAGTTGATTACTAAGGTGTCCATAAGGTTTCAATAGAAGGGATGGCAGCATGCGTAGGGTGTATGACTTTATTCAGTTCTCTGTAATCTACATTCATACACCAGGAGCTGTCTGGCTTTTTTACTGGCTACACCAGTGAATTAAAAGGGATATGAGTGAGTGTTATAATACCCACCTTCTCCAGTTCTTGGAAGGCTTCTCCAATTATGCCCTCCAGGCAATTTGTATTGCTTGGTATTAGTCACCTGCTGAAACCCAGGCAAATATACAGGCTGGTGCTTAGTGTGTCCCCTCAGAACTGCCTTTACCACACATTTCCTCAGTCTGAACTCATCTGCAGTGGTCTGCAACCATAGGCCCTGCAGGATATCTATCCCCAAAATGTATTTTGGAGAGAGGCCCAGGAATAGGAGAGATTTTCACAGTATATTCCTTTGGGAGTGGACACCCTATTCCCAACAGGATTTGGGCTTGTTTCACTCTGATAGCCTTACCCTGTGTTCATCTATAACAGTGGGAGTCTTGGGAAACCATTCAGGGTTGCCATAAATCAGTGAGCATTCAGCTTCTGTCTCTACCAAAGCTACGACATGCTGTACATTCACTGGGGACCAATGAATCAACATTTCAACATATGCCTCTGGTCCCCACCTGGTCCCCCAAGACGGGTGCTTTAAACACCCCCCCCCAATCAAATTATATCACCCAGTTGTCTTACTGTGCAGGTCCTGGTGAGTTCAGCTCACTCTCCAGCAGGAAGTCCTGCAGGCACACAGGCCAGACTTGTGGCTTTGTCTCTGGTTTCTGTTTCTTGACTGAAACCATTGCTCTGGCTTCAGTTGTTGCCACAGCTCTAGTGAGTAAGATTCTGTTTGACTTCCCACCCAATTTCTCTTTATCTGCTCCTGCCTTATTAGATCAATCCACCTCGTGACCTTCACAGGGCCCTTTAAGCCCTTCCAGTCAGTAGCAAGCCGTACTCCCTTCTGCGCCCATATTGCTTGAGCCTACTCCAAATCTGCCACAGAATGGGTAACTGCATTTATGGGTTGCCCTAAGTGAGGGGCAAGAATGACCATTAAGGGCCCAAAGAGGGATGGGGGATCTGTTTACAGCACCATATCCCTCATCCCCGTGGTAAACAGCTCCTCGTCTGGGCCATGATTTACTGGGTTTTAAATGGCCTTTTTTCATGTCCAACTCCTGTAACAACTGCTGGAGCTCAGCATATGTCTGCCATCTAGTGGGGGAAGACGGTAAGTCACCCAGAGTGGACCATCCAGTGCGAAGGGTGGCCATCAGCCATTTGAGAGGGGAATAGGTCCGGGTTGGGGGTTTTGATGCGCATTCTGCAGTTACAGCTACAGGGCAAGATGAGTTGTCAGGGAAGCCAGTTTTTGTAATCTGATCCAGACAGGAGGATACCATCCATCCCTACAAGCCCAAATGGGCAAAAGCCAGGCTGATATGGACTCCGCGGGCTTCTGTCAAGGCCAGGAGCCCAGATCCACCAGCTCAGCCTGTGTACGGGGGCGGAATGTGGAGTGCTCCATGACCTAGGGAAGGGTCTGCACCTCTCCTGGAGGAACCCGTGGTTGCTGCGTCTTTATTTTCTTGACTACAATTGAGGAGTTAGTGCCTCCACCACCACCTCTACTTCCTTGTCCTTCTCTGACATATCCCTCAGCACTGGCGCTGATGGCAAATCTCTCCTTACTCCACAGCACCATCATCATAGTCATCACTACATCGTTTACCTTCTCCACAGCACTTCACAGCAATGCCATCTCAGTCTTCAACAAATCTTTTACCTCCTTCACAGCACCTCACAGCTTGCGTTCTCATGCTGCCTCTTCTCATGCTTCTTGCGGGAGTCCATCCTTCTTCTTTATGGCCTTTCTTAACACTGTAAGAACTTGCCAACCCATGGCTCCCACTGCCATGAGAGTATCCCGTTTAAGGATTTTACAGTCTTGTGGAGGGCCTCCACCACTGCTTCAGGCGTCACCCCCACCTCCCCCAGTCCTGGAGAGAGGCCCAATCCTCCAGGAGGAATGCCACCTTGGACAACATGCCCACTGAGGGATACCCAAGTGTCTCCTTACCCATAGGGGCAGCCTGTTGCGGTACCCCTCCCATGATGGCAGCCTATTCTGTTCTTTGGTCTACAACAAATACTGCCAACTGTGCCAATTGTAGTGCCAGATTTCAGCTCTGGGCAAGTTCACTCTGGATTTGGTGAGAGTGAAAAACAACGGAACTTTGTGGGTAAAAGGGTTTATACCAAGCTTTATTTTCACTGGGGCAGGTCAAGTGCTAGAATCATGTCTGCCTCTGGCAAGTCCGCAATCCATCTCTGTCTCTGCTTCTGTGCAGAGCATTGGGTGGAGTTCTTTATATAGCAACACAGTTGATGATAACTCACTGTCAACATGTGTACAAGCCTCTGCCTGCGAGCATTGCACATGCACAATGGGCAAGTGGGTTAGGGTCAGGTGGGGACCCTGGCTGTGGTAATTCCATTTTCCCTACAGATAGCCTCAATCTCTCATTATCCACTTGATTAATAATCTAATTACTTCTGCACTTTTATTAAAAAATGGTGATGGGGGGCAGTGCAGTCCTATCATCAGCCTCCATTTACAAAAGGAGTTTTTGAGAATTCAGAGCAGAGTGGTAACACCCTGTTCTCCTCTTATGTAGTGAAACAGTCTGTAATTTTTGGCTGAGCCTTATCCAGTCTTCATGCATTCCCCTTCTCTTGCCACTTTAGGTGTAGCCCTGTGACCAAG